ATGGCACAAGTGTCGGTCTGCCTCTAAACACGTGTATTAAGCGCCACGATCCTTTCGAGCTACGATAATCGATAAGCTGAACTCATTTTGGTTGCAGGATGGACACACCTTTTAAGGTGGAGGGTCCAATTCGTGAGGTTGTTTGACTGGAAAAGTAGAAAAATATTGATGAAATCAACTAAACGACACAAATGTCGTTTAACGACACTTGTGCCGTTCTGCCTGGAAACACTTGTACATAGCGCCACGATTCATCCGAGCCACGATGAACTCATTAGATGAACTCATTTAAGTTGTAGGATGGACATGCCTCTTACAACGTAGGGGAGATATGCTCAACGCTTATACTTTCAAACAAAATCAATGTAGGTTTGTGTGATTTTACCGTTGAATACCATATATTCTACATCAATTCCATTGTTAGTTGTCACTCAATCAACATTTTCAGCCTTCTTAAGTTAGTGGGTCTAATTCGTGAGGTCGTTCGGTTGGAAAAGTAGAAAAATATTGATGAAATCAACAGAACGACACAAGTGTCGTTTAATGGCACTCGTGTCATTCTGCCTGGAAACACCTATACAGAGCGCTACAACCCATCCGAGGCACGATGAATTCATTTAAGTTGTAGGATGGACATGCCACTTACAACGTAGGGGAGATATGCTCAACGTTTATACTTTCAAACAAAATCAATGTAGGCTTGTGTGATTTCACCGTTTGGTATATATTCTACATCAATTCCACCGTTAGTTGTCATCTAATCAACATTTTCAACCTTCTTGAGTTAGTGGGTGGAATTCGTGAGGTCGTTCGGCTAGAACGGCACAAGTGTTGTTATGTTTTGTAAATAAATTTCCATGAGAACGCCACAAGTGCCGTTATTGTCGATAAAACGACACTTGTGCCGGTCTGTCTGAAAACACTTGTTTAGAGTGCCACGACTCGTCCGATCCACGATATTCGATTAGATGAACTCATCTAAGTTGTAGGATGGACATGCCTCTTACAACGTAGGGTAGATATGCTCAATACTTAATCGATATGAAAAAGAAAACGATACAACAGTCGTTACTATTCTGAAAACGGCACAAGTGTCGTTACAGCACCAGTGACGTTTTAGTGTAACAAAAAAAACATCATAACTACCGTTCTGACTTCATCGAGTCTAAGATAATAACACAATCACTCGTTCCAAACATCATAAGTAGTTTGCTTTTCAAAATTACAAAAGTAGTA